AGTTCAATTCCCAGCACCTTCACGGAGGCCCACAACCATCTGTAACTCTAGTTCCAGGGGGACATAATGGTGTCTTCTGGTCTCTGAGGGTACCAGGCACACAAGTGGTTCACAGACATACATGCAGACAAAAGTATCCATACACATAAACTTTAAAGAAGTTTTTAAGAGGTGGATTTGGCAGTTGCTGGTCCTCTAAGCTTAGCCTGACCATCACCATCTGCCGTGGTGACTGAGCAGAAACCTCAGCTTGCGACTGGGAAATGACAGAACTCAAAATTAAGAGGATACTTGATACTGAGTCTGTTCTCATTTTTCTCTGGGGAACAAAGGAGAAAACTTTATAGAAAACCTCCCACCTAGGATTCATTAGCCACCACCCCTCCCTGCTTTCTGACATTAACAGATACTTAAGATTCCATAAGTGCTTATGAAAGAAAGCGATTAACCAGGAGTGGGGAGACTTGGGTCATGTCATGTGCACTGCCTTGAGTTAAATTCATTACTCATGTCTGGACTTCTGAGTCATTCTTCGAGTGGTTGGTATTGTCCAAATTTGGAGGTAGACAACTTTTTCACCTCCCCAGGAAATTCATATGACATTTGATATCTGATGATGAATGTGGTATGTATGTTCTGTGTGTAAAGAACACCCCAGCTACAGCTTAGTTTCTGTTTTTATAAAATGCCCTGACTGGAAGTGGCCTGTGGGAGAAAGGAATATATTCAATTTATTTATTTGCTTATAGAGTTTTATTTATTTATTGTTTTTTTTTGTTTTTGTTTTTTTTTTGTTTTGTTTTGTTTTGTTTTGTTTTTTCCCAAGACAGGGTTTCTCTGTGTAATGTCTTGGAATTAGGTCTGGCCTCAAACTCAGAGAGATCCACCTGCCTCTCGAGTGCTGGGATTGAAGGCATGTGCCCACTGCCACCTGGTGTTTATTTAGTTTATAATTTCAGTTTACAGTCCAACTGGAAGTCAGGGTATCAGGTTGTTAGAACATCCAGTCATATCATGCAGAAGCAGTGAGCAGTGAACGTGTACAGATATGCCTGTTTGCTTGCTCAACTCTTATTTCTTCACTCATAGAGTTCAGGACCCCCCCCCCCCCAACCTGGGGCCATCCACAGTAGGCTGGGTCTTCCCAGGTCAGTTAATTCAGACAGTTTCCCACTGACACGTCCACAGTCCAACCCAATGTAGACAGTCCCTCACCAAGACTCTTCTCATGTAATTCTAGATTGTGTCTAGGTGACAAAGCTAGCACAACACTCAAAATTTCTACTGGACTGAAGAACTTGTAGTCCCTGAATGTAGCATGGTGTGTTTAGGAAGGACTGCAGTGAAGTTAGTCGTGGCGTGCCCCCTATCATGGTAGCCAGATATAGATATGCTGCTGTGGGTGAATTTGCCTAAAGGAAGAACTCCAGTTAGAAGGGGGTTAGGAATAGCATTATCTGCTTTGTCATCAGATAACTATAAAGGAAGATAAAATAAAGATGCTAGTTTGCATATTCTACAGCTGACAGCTGGTAGTGTGAAGAGACAAAAGAGTTCAAGTCCACTCAGGGATAAAGGGTTTATCCTGGGATCCAAAAAAATGGACCCCTTGGGAAAGGAAGAGAAGACAATTTAAAAGTTTAACTCTTAGTTGAGAGAAGAGAAATATCTACAATCCAGCATGCAGGCATACAGGGGACTTAACAATGGCTACAAGGGAATCTGGTAACCCCAAAGTATTCCCTTCTGATCTACTAAGGTGATGGGAAGTCAGGCAGTGGTGGTGCACACCTTTAATCCCAGCACTTGGGAGACAGAGGCAGCTGGATCTCAGAGTTCGAGACCAGCCTGGTCTACAGAGTGAGTGCCAGGACAGCCAGGGCTGTTACACAGAGAAACCCTGTCTCGAAAAACCAAGGAAAAAAAGGAAGAAAGAGGGAGATCATGGGGAAACTTGTATGCAGCTGTGGGAAACCATTGTGTGTCTGCAGGATATGGTAATGTACTGGAGTGCCAGTGGAGGAGGGTATAATACCCCTACATCTCCCTCTCACCGTGTCCTGGTTAAGTTAAACACCATCTCGACACAACCCAGAATCACTGGGGAAGAGAATCTCAACTAAGGTATTATCTACATCAGGTTGACCTTTGGCATGTCAGTGGCGATTTTCTTTCTTTTTGGGGGTGAGGAGGGTTTTCTAGTTAGTTGATGTAGGAGGGCTCAGCCCACAACGGGAAGAACCATTATCTAGGAGGGAAATCCCAGGCTGTATAAAGAAGCTAACTGAGTATTAGTAAGCCATGCCTGCCAGTCAGTAAGCAACATTGTTCATGGTCCCTGCCAGCTTCTCTGACTATAAGGTAAGTTCCTTTGTTACAGTGTGTGGACTAGCAGGCAGGTGCCATGGGTGTGTGCTCATTTCTTTCTTCCCTGACTGTGGACATGACATGAGCCGTTATTTCAAGCTGCTGCTACTGTGACTCCCTTAGTGATGAACTGTTCCCTGGAACTGTAAGCCCAAGGAACCTTCCAGTGCCTGCATTGTTTTCTTTGCTAAAATGTTTTATCATAGCAACAGAAAGGAGACTAGGACACATCGCTAGCACAATTTACAGCAGCATGAAGGAAATTAAATCATGCAAGACCTCTTAAATCCTGAGTCTGTACTCTGCCTTATACAACCAGTGTGCTAGATCATGAGCAACGGTGAAAGGCCTTAGAATGCATAATGACCAAAACTTAGAATTGAGACTCTAAGATGTTTCTGGCTTTGTCACATGACCTCACCACAGCCTTCATTCTGAGCACACATGATGCACTCTTTCACCGTGCCACTCTGCATACCAGAGAATAATGCTTGAAATTTCTCTGCTCAGATTTGAGGCTACTGTATGTCAGGAATTGCAGTGTTTGAGATTGTACATGATGTTTTGTGCATTTATAGAGATGTGGTTTAATCATAGAAAATTAAGACAATGTTTTCCTCACGTTCAAGTGTATTGAATTATATTAGAATGTTTGGTTTTGAAAATCGATATCTGAAAGGCCAAAGAGATGGCTCATCCATCAAGACCCCAGGCTGCTCTTGTAAAAGACCTGGGTTCAGTTCTCACCCCCTCATGCTGGCTCACAACTGTCTAACTCCAATTCCCGGGACCTGATGCCCTCTTCTGGTCTCCAGCAGCACCAAACACACATGTGATGTACAGATATACATGCATACACTCACACAAAATAGAAACAAAAATATTTTTAAAACTTGGTGTTCCAGCAGGGAGGTGGTGGTGCACACCTTTGATCCTAGCTCTTGGGAGGCAGACGCAGGTGGATCTCTATATTCGAGTCTGGCCTAGTCTACAGAGTGTGAGTTTCAGGACAGCTGGGGACACACAGAAAAACCCTATCTTGAAAAACAAAAAACAAACAAAAAAACTTGGTGCTTGAGTTGCTAACTTGAGTCTCATGAAAAAAAGCCAAAAACTGCTCCTGCTCCAGTTTAGGATTTAGTCAGTTAATAGAGTGCTTGCCTAGAACACAGGGAACCCTGAATATAGTCATCAGCACTGCAGAAAATAGGGATTGCTACAGAGCAAGTTCAAGGCCAACCTGAGTTGCATGAGACCCCGTTTCAAAAAATAAGCACAACAAACTGTTAAGTGAACTTTGGTTTGGGGTTAAGACATGATTTCCCAAATGGCCTTAAACAGTCTTCCATCATTCCGTACCATGCATTTATATGAAGTGGCCTTTTCAGTATAGATGACTATATAAAATCAAGCTATCAATATCTACGAAAAACACTGAAGATGCTATGCTCTTCAGGGTCAAATACACAGACTTAATCACCCTGCCGTGCCCCCTCCCTCTGTGTGTTCTGAGAGAGGTGGCATTGAACTTGCTATATAGGTAAGGATGACCTTGAACTCCTGATCCTTGTGTCTTCACTTTTCAATTACTAGGACTGTGTAACGAGTACTCCTTACAGAACTGCAGGAATGTACCACCACGCCCGGCTAAGTTTAAATCCTTTAAAATAAGCATAACCATGTACAAATTTGTTTTAATCTTTAATAAGTGGTAAAAATTATATATGTATACCAAGCAATTAGTTTTAAAGTAAATTATTAATGTTTGATTTGTATACCAAAAGTCCAAGGCCATGTAAAAATATCCTGGGTGGTGGCAGTGCACACCCTTAATACCATCAACGGGGAGGCAGAGACAGGTGTATCTCTGTGAGCTGGGATTACTGTGAGTTGTGAACCCCTGAAATAGGTTCTGGAGTTGAACTCAGATCCCCTGGAAGAGCACTCAACCACTGAGCTATTGCTCCACCCACCAGGCACCCCAGTCCTTCTAATGGCCTTATGTGGGCATTAAGGAAACTAGATGGCTAAATGATTAATAGACAACATTGTTGAACAAAGTGTGACCTGCTCATGCCATCTCTTTAGCCTCCCTTCCCTTTTTTTTAAAAGACAGGCATTACCATAAGAGGGATAGTGGGCTCACAGTATGGTCCACCTGTAATAATGAAAGCATGTTCCACACTCAGCATGAAAACATCCCTGCAAAGGCCACTGTCACTGCAGAACATTGTATTACATTGCTGCAAATTATTTCCACTTGGCAAAGATAGAAACAACAGGAAATGATGGAGACATGGGAGGCCAGATCCCAGATCTGCTCCAGGGCACTAAAAAGAAATCCTCAGAGCAGGGAAAGACAGCTGGGCGTGGGTGGCGCACGCCTTTAATCTCAGCACTCTATAGGCAGAGGCAGGTGGATCTCTGTGAGTTTGAGACCAGCCTGGTTTACAGAGCTAGTCCAGAACAGGCTCCAAAGCGATACAGAGAAACCCTGTCTTGAAAACAAAAATTCTTATCTATCTAAAAATTCTTTTAGTAATAAAAACAGGTTCACATCTGAAAGTAACTTTCTTATTACTAGCCTTTTAAAAAAAATTCTCTCTATAGAAGAAGCCGATATAAAAGCTGTATTCTGAAGGTCATATTACATTTATTAAATAAACAATAGAGACAAAGTCATTCTATAAATACATAAGAAATCAAAAGGTTTTCCATACAGACAACATTCAGTCAGGATTCATGGGGACAGGATTGACCCTTTGGTCTGAGGATTCAATACAGGTAAGAACCAGTGGCTGGCTGCTCTGTTTCTCTGATCTTTCAGCATTAACCTCTTTATCTGCCTCTGGGTTTTTATAAAGGCCAATTCGCTCTACACTCAGGCTTGAAAAAGTCACATTGACAGTAAAACCATGGCAATGCTTGGGTGTCCAGTCAGCTTCCTTGATGTATAGTCTTCAAATCAGGCAGAGAGGCACAGGGCAAGAATCAGTGACCTAGAGAGAGCCCTGAATGTTAAGATACTCTGCATAAACATTTAGTTAAACCTTGAATTTTATAATATAAAAATAAGGTTAGAAACACATGCAGAAAGCCAGTTTTTGTTCTTTTTTTTTTTTTCAGGTGGAAAAGTGGCACTAAAGTTATTTTATGTTTTGATGAGACCTTAGCTAAAGGATCAGAAGTGAAAGCATATTTTATTCACCAAAATGACAGTCTAAGAAGTCACTTTTCTGATAAATCGCAGGATCAGCATGCTGTTAGGCAGGGCCGGGCTCCCGGATCTTCACTGTCCTTACAGGAGAAAGCAACACAGACATTTGTTTCTTGAATCAGAACTTGTTACACAATCCCAGGAGGCAGTTGTTGTCTGAAGCTATATGACAAGAGTTGTGAATAGTGAGTATAAAGACAGTGAGTCCCACTGTGACTCATTGATGTCTAACCCTGAGAAACCCTGGGACCCAGCCCTCTCCCCTTTGCCTCAACCCCAATCCCAGGCCCCCAGGGTGTCACCTTTTCAAGCCTCCAGAGAAAAGTCAGAGCTCTGGGCACTGTCCCTGCCTGCAGAAAAAGAAATGACAAGGCACATTTAGGAGACTGAGAGGATGTGGCTGGAGAGGAATTATGGGCTGGCAGGGCTCCCCATCAGCTCCATCCCAATGGCCTCCGGGACAGTCCTGATCCCCACACTTACCTACAACATGATCATAGCCTTCTTTTCCACCTGTGAGAAGAAAAGCTGTGAGAGACCAGGGAGGAGCCTGACCCTAGGAATTTTCCAGAATCAACAGCAGACCCAGGTCAGAGACAGGAGCAGTGGGGGTGTGGATGTGTTTCCATGAGACAGAGCACAATTCTAAAAGGGGCTGAGAGAGAACTCAGACCCTGCCCCTTCCTACCTGCATTTCTCCTCCTCTTCCTCACCACAGCCACCACAGCTCCAATGATGGTCAGAGCTCCAAGGAGAACCAGGACAGCAATGACTGCCATGATGGGGACAGTGGACTGAGGAGGCTCTGGGAAGGGAAGGACAGGAAGGGGAGGTGAGGGTCATGACCACAGCTCTCAGCCCTGACCCTGCTCAGGCTCTGCAGAAGTTTCCATCTGTTCCTGACCCCAGCTCTGTACCCCCTCCCTCCTTACCCCATCTCAGGGTGAGGGGCTCAGGCAGCCCCTCATGTTGCACATGGCATGTGTACTTCTGTTCCTCCCCAGAAGGCACCACCACAGCTGCCCACTTCTGGAAGGTTCCATCCCCAGAAGGTCTGGTCTCCACCAGCTCCATGTCCTGAGTCTGTTCTTCCTCCTCTCTCTGCCAGGTCAGGGTGATGTCAGCAGGGTAGAAGCCCAGGGCCCAGCACCTCAGGGTGACATCACCCTTAGGTCCAGGATGACGGGTCACATGTGTCTTTGGGGGGTCTGAGGGAAAGAGTTGGGAAGGTTAGGCATCTTGCTTGCTCCTGGGGACTCAACAGTGTTCATGTGGCCATTCTGGGAATGGACAGGAGAACTGGGGTGGGTTAGGGTGTCCATATATTAATAAACCCCAGCTAGAGCAGACACTGGGGGTAATCTGTTCTTTGGGGGTGCTCTAAGATGACAGTAGGCGGCTTCAGAGCTCTGCAGACTGATGGAGGGGAAGGGATTTCTGTTCCTGAGCTGAGGGAGGGCCAGGAGAGTCTGACCCCAGAGGCGTGAGAAAAAAAAAAAAATGCTCATTTGGGTCCAGGGCTATCATCAAAGCTGACCTGCTGTAAAAGGACTTCTCTCCCTCGCCCTCTCCCTCGTCCTCGGCCCAGCGCCTGCTGAACAGTTCATCCTCTGAGCATGCGGGGAGGGGTCGCCAGGTACCTGAGCGCAACAGGGTCGCCTTTCCCAACTCCAGGTATTTCAGGAGCCAGTCTATGCACGGACCCTGCAGGTACGCCCTCTGGTGGTAGGCCTCGTCTGTCTTTTCGGACTTTAGCTTAGAGATCTGAGAGGCCAGGTCAGTTGCCGTCCAGGTGCGCAGGTCCTCGTTTAAGGAGATATAATCGTGGCCATCGTAGGCCTCTTGACAATACCCGCGGAGCAGGTGCCCGTCCGGCCCCAGGTCGCAGCCGTACATCCATTGCAGCGTGTGAGGCTCTGGCAGGGACACGATGGTCAGCGCCACCTTGCTGCCACCCTTCCTCACTGTCAGTCCATAGCCCGCCCTTTTATTTTGTTTTGTTTTGTTTTCTCGAGACAGGGTTTCTCTGTGGCTTCGGAGTCTGTCCTGGAACTAGCTCTTGTAGACCAAGCTGGCCTTAAACTCATAGAGATCCGCCTGCCTCTGGCCACCAACACCTGGGCTAACCCCACCTTTTAAAACGAAAGTGCAACGGAAACCTGAGCGAAACTCAGCAGGGTCTTTCCTGTTTGAGGCTCTGGGCAGGTGACCCAAGCCCGTCCCAGGGGACATGAAGGGGTCGTGTCTGTGATGGGGCCGCGGCCACTCACCATCGTCAGTCTGATTGTAGTAGCCAAGCAGGGTCTTGAGGTTCGATCTGAAGTTCTTCCCTGTGTTCCTGGCTTTCCGTGTCTCCTTCTCCCAATACTCCGGCCCCTCCGGCTCCATCCACGCCGCCCGCGGCTCCATCCTCGGATTCTCCGCGTCGCTGTCGAAGCGCACGAACTGCGTGTCGTCCACGTAGCCGATGGCGATGTACCGGGGCTCCCCGAGGCCGGGCCGGGACACGATGGTGTGGAAATACCGCAGCGAGTGCGAGCCTGGGGGTGGCGCGCGGTGAGACCCCTGACCCTCCTCCCAGGCCCAGAGTCCCGGGTGAATGCAGGGGAAACACGGGTGAGGGCCACGGAGATACAGGGGTGAGGGCTGCGGAGATACGTTTCCGGGATAATTGCCCCCACCTGGCGCCCTCCTCCTTCCCACAAAGTCCTCCTCACCCCTTACTCACTAGCCTGGGTCTGGGTCAGAACTAGGGCAGCTTGAGTCAGGAGGAGCTTGAGCATGGAAACAGAAGCCATAGTCCTCAATACCCGGGGTCTGTGAAGAGTGTGAACTTTGTTCCTGTAGACTGTTGACGTTGGAAACTGTCGCTGATTGGCTTCTCTAGTAACCAGGCGTCCAACAGGAATGAGCATTGTGAGTGCATCATTTGTGTCCAGCGAGAAGAACCCGGCCAGGGATGAGAGAAAAAGTGAAACTATGTATGGAAAACCCCTGCTGGGCACCTCTCGACGTCTTTACTAAAGAAAATACGGTAAGAGCCATTACATGACCTGGGATTTTAACCTGACCCATGTCCTAAGCACTTATAACTATTGGGCACATTGTTTCTCTGAGTCTTGGTGTAGAGTCTATGTAAGTTTTGGTTCTTTTAATTTATTTTTGAAATATGTTTGTGTGTTTTTGTGTGTGAGTATGAGTGCAGGGACCGAGGAGGACAGATTTCCTGGGGCTGGAGTTATAGGTGACTGAATTCCGTGTGAGTGCTGGATACCAACCTCAGGTTCTTTGTAAGACCTAGGTATATGCTCTTAACAGTTGAGCCACCTCTTTTGTCCATGGGAGGATTCTTCTTAATACTTTGATCTGTGGAATTTTATATATTACACTATAACTACACAAGTGTAGTTATTAGATGGTTAGTTATAACGTGATCCCATCATTGAATGTTTCTATTCTATAATATTAAAACGGGGGCGGGGGAGGCACTGGAGAGCTGGCTCAGAGGTTAAGGTTGCTGTTCTAGAGGTCCTGAGTTCAATCCCCTGCAACCACATGGTGGCTCACAACCATCTATCATGGGATCTGATGCCCTCTTCTGGCATGCAGGAATATATGAAGAAAGAGCACACGCACATTAAAAATAAATAAATAAATAAATAAATAAATAAATAAATCATATATATATATAAAACTCATTGGTTTGAGGCTGGAGAGAGAACTCAGCAATTAAGAGCACTTGATACTTTTTCTTGCAATGACAAAACTAACAAATGCAGACATTCATTACAGATGGTTGTGAGCCACCATGTGGTTACTGGGAATTGAACTCAGGACCTCTGGAACAGCAGCCAGCCAGTTCTCTTAACCTCTGAGCCATCTCTCCAGCCCCAGAAAAGAGATTTTTATATCAATGAATAAATATTGATGGTCTGCAGTGGTGGCAGGATTCACAGTGGACAGGGGCCGCACTGGGGAACTGACTGGTTTGGATCTCCATGCTAACCAAATACACAGGCTCACAGAGTACTCTGAAGGAGGTGCCAGGAAGGAAACTCAAGACTCAGGGGATCTAGGAAATAGGGAAACACGTGGCTGAGTCTATGCTGAGCAGCAGTGCCAAGAGAGCAGACGGAAAATAGCAGAACTGTCAATGGTGGTCAGTTTATGAAGGGTCTAAGGCTGAGCAGCCCCTTATACCAATGGGGGAATGCAGGAAGAGCTAGTTATTCCCGGGTCCTCCCTATGTTACAACCTGAGAATCTAATAGGGTGTGGTGGGGACAATGAGGAAGGATAGGAGCAATGTTATCTTCTGTACTGCAAAGATTCATTTATATACCAAATTGTAGGACCTGCATTCATATGGCCCTGTCAGAACATGGTAAAAGAATGACATATAATGAACAATCCCTTGGGGAGCTGTAAGAAAAACTCCAGGAAAAAAAAAAAGGCAGAGAGTCTTTTAACCTCGAGTTCATTTTGTTCTCTGGACTATTCTTGGACATGATTTTGTGCCTCCTATGTTAAGCATTTGCATTCAATTTATAGGACATGTTTATAGCTATAGAACCCAATCTGGTTAGTGTTGCCTGAATCTGGATATGACCCACGTTTTCCCAGGTATAATCTATAGTATGGTCCAGGCAATTGTGTTGAAATTCATTTGTCCTGAGAAAGCTCTGGGAAAGGGCTGCTCTGTTGATATCTAATACGTGCTTACTGACATTTATTTACACTTTTTTTTTTCTGAACTCAAACAACCTTCCTTGGATCAATGCTTTCTTTGTTACATTCATGTATAAAAGTGTACTGAAAGTGAAGTAAAGTTGTCTACAGCATTAGACTATAGACTGCCCCATTCTTGCAGGGCCTCAGATCCTAGGTCTGGCAGACACAGATCTGCACAGGCTGACAAAAGTTGACAGTGCCCAAAGAGGTCTGCAGAGGGCATCAGATACCTTGGAACTTGAGTTACATATGGTTGTGAGGCAACATGTGGCTGCTGGGAATTGAACCTGGGTCTTCTGGGAGAACAGCACTGAAGTAATGATCTAAGCATAAGGAAAGGAAGTGTATGACCTTGAATAGAACCCCAGTCTTCTTCCAGATGGTCTCTGGGAGTCTCAGGTTGTCAACATGTCCACAGAGGAGATGTTCTTCCTTCTTGCATCCCTGTGGTCTGGCTTCACCTTAACAATTGTAACCCTGTCAGGTGTCCCCCAAGACCAATCTGTGATCTCATGTAGGTTCCTTAGCACCATGTTTGAGGCTAATAGCTTCAAAACTCATCCCAATGGTATGCACAGCTATCTGTGACAAGCCTACACACATGCTTTTGGTATGGTTTCTTCCTTCCTTCCTTCCTTCCTTTCTTTCTTTATTTCTTTCTTTCTTTCTTTCTGGTTTGTTTGTTTTTTGAGACATGGTTTCTCTGTGTATCCCTGACTGTCATGTAACTCACTCTAGACCAAATTGGCCTCAAACTCAGAGATCCTCCTACCTCTGCCCCCCAAGTGCTGTGTGCCACCTTCAACTTTCTCTTTCTCTTTTTCTTGGCACCTCTCTAAATTCTCCTGCTTAAAGTCTACATTAAAATACTTTTACTGGTTCTTGTTCATGGCACCTCCTAGGTAATTGGTTGTGTCAAAATAAAGCTGAATACCTTCTTCCAGCCAGAAGCTGTCAGGAACACTTGGAAGTGGACTATGAATGCAAGCTTTGCACTTTCTGTGAGAGGTGAATGGTCACAGGAGTAGCTGATGATGCTCTGGGTGAATAGTGGAAGGACTACATGGTCCAAATCAGTGGTGGGAAGGACAAACAAGGTTTTCCCATGAAGCAAGGTGTCTGAATCCCACAGCAGGGTGTGCCTGCTGCTGAGTAAGGGATGTTTTTGTTACAGACCAAGAAAAAACTGGATAGAGGAGGTCCATGTCTTTTCACAGGTGCATTGTGGATGCCAATATGGGTGTTCTCAACTTATAAGCAGAGGAGACAAGGAAGTTCCTGCACTGACAGATACTACTATGTCTCAGTGGGTGGGATCCAAAAGAGCTGGTAGAATCTGAAAACTTTAAGATTCTAAAGAAGCTGATGGTCAATATAGTGTAAGAAAGTAAATAAAGAAGGTGAGACGCCCAGGACCAAAACACCCAAGATTCAGCACTTTGTTACTTCATGTGATCTTGACACAGACACAGATGTATTGTTCTGGAGAAACAATTCATTAAGGAAAGTGAGGATGAGGCTGCAGAACATCTTAAACTTTTGGTAGAGAGAATGAAGGAAACCCAAGGGAAAAAATTGCCAGGAACAGACCCACAAGAGATGCAGGCTTTCACTGAGAGCTTCTACTTAATCTAATTTTAATGGGTCTTTAAAAGTAACATATAAATAATCGGACCTTCAAAAAATACCTTTATTGGACCAGCTAGAGTATTCAGTGGGTAAAGGCACTTGCCTCCAGGTGTGTTATCCCGGAGTGCCATCTCTGGACCTACATGGTGGAAAAAGAGAACAGACTACGGCCAGTTGTCCTGTGGCTTCCACACATGAGCTGTGGTTCTCTCTCTCTCTCTCACACACACACACACACAATAAATAAATAGATTTATGCCACCTTAAAATAAAATGTTTATTAAACCCCAACTCTACTAGACCACAATCCTTTTCTGCACCAAAGCCAAAGATCCCTAAAAGGCCCCTAAGTGATTAAGGGGTGCTACTCAGAGAGATGTGGATGAGGGGATGGAGCTTTGTCTTCAACCCTGTTCCCTGTGACAAAATACCTGATGAGTAGCCACTTAGAGAAGAGATAGGTATCAGATCTCCAAGACAGAAAGGTGGGACCTGTCTCTGTTCATGGTGGCAGGAGATGGCCTGCTCATGTCCTGGTTAGGAAACAGGAAGGGGGCTCCAATGTTCTGCTGGCCTTTTCTTGAGACTCCAGCTGATGAGTGAAGCCACCTTATAGTCAACATGATTTTTTCCTCCTCGGTTAAACCTGGCTAGGAACACCCCACAGATACACCCAGAGGGTCGGCTCCTAGGTGATTCAAGTTGACTGTGAAGATGTCTGGTGAGATACAAAACAAAAGATTCCATTCTGAGCTGGGTGCTGCACACCTTTAACCCCAGCACTCAGGAGGAGGCAGAGGCAAGCGGATCTCTGTGGGTTCGAGGCCAGCATAGTGTACAGAATGAGTTTCAGGACAGTCAGGACTGATTCACAGAGAAACCCTGTCTCCAAAACAAAACAAAATATTCCATTCTGTAGTAGCTGTTCTAGGCATTTCCACATGGGGTGGGGTGGGGGAGAGGGTGGGGAAGTGGGGGCATCCCTGAGTGAGGAGACTAAGCAGAGACTTCTGAGAGCCACAGAGTGGTGGGAGTACAGTCAGGTACCTTTTCAGGGTGACAGATTAAGCAATCCTGGAGGTCTGAAGAAGTGGTCTGGATGATTCCTACAGGACTCAGTATTCCAAAAGGGAAGGACCATCTCCTACAAGATTCAGAGCAGATGTCATTGTAAAGTGGTGACATTTTGAATAACTTACTCCTCACTTGAAATGTCCAAGTTCAAAGACTCTCTCCAGCACCAACACATGTCCTCTGTCTTCCCCAGCATGTCACCTCATCATTCATGGCTATCTCGCCAGAGTCCTGGCCACTGTCCCTGCCTAGGAAAGAACAGAGCAGGACCTAGTCAGGCTTCAGAAGGCTGAAGGTGAAGTGTGTGTGTGGGAGCTATGGGCTGGGTGAATGCTCATGGACTCCAAGGGTCTCATAGACCACCTCTCACCACACTTACTTGATTCCTGAGTGTCGCTCCTTCTTCTCCCACCTGAGGAAAGAAAGCCATGTATGGGTGGTATGGGATCAGGCAGTTATGAGGGCCTGGAGCAGTGGTTCTCAATCTTCCTAGTGCTGCCAGCCTTTAATACAGCTTCTCATGCTGTGGTGAGCCCTCAACCATAAAATTACTTTGTAACTGTAATTTTGCTACTGTTATGAATGTAAATCTGATACAAAGGATATCTTATGTGTAACCTCTAAAGGGGTTGAGAACCACTGGCCTAGAGGCACCCTCTTAGTCCCCAGCCTAAGGGAAATTTCCATAACTGAGATGATTTTAATACCTTCCTGGAGGTTTGTCCTCAGTGAGACCTCTGCCTGTGACAGCTGGGCATGAGGTTTCAATCACCAGAACCACTCCCCAAGCAAAAACTTCCCTTCAGTCCCCTCTGCTTTTGAAGGCTAAATGAAAAGGTCCCAGATGAAGTAGACAAAGAGCTGAGGGTGGTACATCCCATTACCTAAGCAGGACACTTCTACCTATGGCTTGAAGCCGTTAGTGGGCAAGAAAACTCAACATCCTACCTGCATCCTTCCTCACACGTATGTAAAGCACCAAAGCTCCAATGAGGATGAAAAATGTGGCAACTGTGGCAACAGTGGCAACAGTTGGCATGATATTCTTGTACCTAGCAGGCTCTGGGAAAGGAAGGGAAGATGAGGACCACCCATCTCTCAGCTCTGACCCTGCTCAGGGTTTCCAGAAGGATTACAGCTTACCCCAGCTCTGCACTCACACCCTCCTTACCCCATCTCAGGATGAGGGGCTCAGGCAGCCCCTCATGTTGCACATGGCATGTGTATTTTTGCTCCTTCCCAGAAGGTACCACCACGGCTGCCCACTTCTGGAAGTTTCCATCCCCTGTGGGTCTGGTCTCTACAAACTCCATTTTCTGGATCAGGTCCTCCCCATCCAACTGCCAGGTCAGGGTAATGTCAGCAGGGTAGAACCCCAGGGCCCAACACCTTAGGATGACATCACCTTGAAATCTGGGGTGATGGGTCATCTGTGTCTTTGGGGGGTCTGAAGGGAAGAGTTGGGGAGATTAGGCATCTTGCTTTCTCCTGGGGACTCAGCAGTGTTCATGTGACAATTCTGGGAATGGACAGGAGAACTGGGGTGGGTTAGGGTGTCCATACATTAATAAACCCCAGCTAGAGCAGACACTGGAGGTAGTCTGTTCTTTGGGGGTGCTCTAGGATGTGAATGTGACAGTCTGGGTAGGAGGCTTCAGGGCTCTGCAGACTGACTGATGGAGGGGAAGAGATTTCTAGTCCTGAGCTGAGGGAGGGCCAGGGGAGTCATAAAAGCTGGAGTCACTGGGGCATGGAAGGAGGGCCTGAGAGAAAAAGCTCCTTTGGGTCCAGGGCCATAGCCCAAGTAAAGAAACTGTTGATTAGTTACTAAAAGGTTGATTTTCTGTTAGAGAAAATGAATTTCTTAATTGTCAGTAAGAGAAGGGCTATTCTCTGAGGGAGTCACTCTTGGTCAAAGATCTGGAAGCCAAAGAGATTGCTGCCTCCCAGGACTCTGTGGAGGAGTGAGTTAGTTCACTGTCTCCTTCTCCTCCTTCCAAAAAGGAAAGGCTCTAACCCAGAACCTGTCTTGCTGGGCAGTGCTTAACCTGTGAACTATCCCCAAGTGTTCTCATCCTGCCCAAGCACCCCCCCCCCCAGCTCTCTAAACCCCCATCAAGCAGCCAGAGGGAAACTTGGGCGGGGTGTGGCTCCCTGGGCACCTGAGCGCAGCAGCATGTCCTTCCCTTTTTCCAGGTGTTTCTGCAGCAAATCCACACAGTTGCCCTTCAAGTGGTCCCCTAACTTGAGCTGCGAGATCTGAGCTAAGGTGCTTCTGGTCGCTGCCCAGGAGCTCCAGTCCTCGTTCAGGTTGAGGCAGTCTTCGCCATCAAAGGCCAGCTGATTGTACCAGTGGAGCAGGAGCCCATCTTGCCCCACTTTGCAGCCACGCATCCCCTGAAGCGTGTGAGAGTCTATAGGGGACAAGGTGGTCAGCCCTCTCAGGAAGCGTAGCACCACTAACTACAAACCAAATCCAAGCAAATCCTTGAGGGCTCTTTTCAGGTTAAGGAATTGGGCAGGTCTCCTGTGATAGCCCAGTCCAGAGAATCTGGGCAACCTTGGTGCTTCCAAAGGGTCAGGGTCACTCACCGTCCTCGCTCTGGTTGAAATAGCGAAGCAGGGTCATCAAGTTCGCTCCGGACAGCTGCGCTTGAGTCCTGGCCATCTGGGTCTGCAGCTCCCAATACTCAGGTCTCTCCTGTTCCATCCACCCCACACACGGCTCCACTCTGGGAGTCTCTGCGACACTGTCGAAGCGCACTAACTGTGTGTTGTCCACGTAGCCCACGAAAATGAACCGTGGCTCCCCGAGGCCCGGCCGGGACACGACGGTGGTGAAATTGAGCAGTGAATGTGAGCCTGGGGACAGCGTGAGGTGAGATCCCGACTCTCTTTCTGGGACCCTGGGCAGGTGCGCGAGCCGTGAGGGGAGTGGGACACCGGTGGAAGTCTGGCTGGCAGATTGAGAGTTGTGGCTTCCTGGGTGCCGCCCCCACCCTTTCCTTCCGAGGTCGTTCCCCCTCCCCCCCCCCCGGGTCGCACTCACCGGCGCAGGTTTGAGCCCAGAACAAAGGGTCTGCCAGCAGCAGGAGGAGAGCAGGGTGCAAAGTGGCCTCCATCCTTGGGGACTCTGAGTGTCTGGTTCTGGGCGGATCTTGGGCAACTTTACAAACCAGAGAGACAGTGATTGGATTATTTCAGAACCCAACTTCAAATGAGAGTGAGAATAGGTGTCACGTCATCAACATCTAGGCAGAACAACTCACCAGAGGTTGAAAGTGGAATTCATGCAGATTGCCCCATCGCCACCCCGAGACTGTGCTGACTTCCAGGAAAGAGCACCTGTTGGTCAACCCGTCTTCCAAAGTCCTATTCAGACGCTGTCTGTCTGTGGAATCCAGGGTAGCCTGCAAATTGATCTCAGGCCCTCTCTAATTCAAAGCTGTAGAAATGCACTCCACCCCACCCTGGGACAAGGACTCTTCCAGAAGAAAACACATACCAGGGATTTTGAGGGCAACAGCGAGCTGTTCTGGGAATTTAGTGGGGAGATAGGTTGTCTCTCTTTTCCTAGCTCTCTTTCTCCCCTCCCATTCCCGTGTGTCTGCCTCTCTGTCTCTCTGTGTTTCTGTGTCTCTTTTTCTCGGTTTTTCTCAGACAGGGTTTCTCTGTGTAGCCCTTGGCTGTCTGGGAACTCGCTCTATGGACCAGGCTGACCTCGAACTCAGAGATCCAACTGCTTCTGTCTTCTGAGTGCTGGGATTAAAGGTGTGCACCATTATGGACCCGCAAGATAAAGTTTTCTCAATATGCCTGCAAAGCTGTCCAGCAAGTGTGATGGAGACTCCAGTAAGTCTGTGTCTCATTTTCAGCTCAGGGTTCAGCCCACAGGGAACTTATGACAAGGTTCCATTTCTCAGTTCCAGGGTGAGGTCCCTGTCTTTTCTGGGAGTCATGAGGGAGCAGAGGGGGTCTGCTGGTAACTCTCCATGGACCCAGAGCTCTTTGCCATGGTCAGTGAAGAAAATCTCCCACATAGAATTATTACACGTGGGTTTGGGCCCAGGAGGACCTGGTTCTTTTAAGATTTGTCCTGATTAAGACAGGCTCTCAGATTAAAGGTAGCTGATAGGGAGCCCTAGTAACTTCAGCAGAGTCCCATCACCATCACTGACCTTAGCATTTGATGGACTGACCAGAGGAAGGTAAATAGCCAGGCTGTGTTTTTGGGGAGGGCCATGGAGAAGGAGCCGAGCACTGCTTCCTTGTGTGGGAAATTGGTCACAGTAGGCTGTGAAAGTCTAATAGCTAAATGGTTGAGGATGGTAGTGAATAGAAATGAGAACATGGCCACTCCTGGGTGGTAGGTATAAGGGAGAACAGCCAGAAGCATCTGGAAGAGTCCAGACTGAGCATGGCCATCAGGATGCACTAGCCTGCTGGGCGGTGGTGATGCATGAATGCCTTTAATCCCCAGCACTTGGGAGGAAGAGGCAGGTGGATTTCTGTGAGTTTGAGGCCAATCTTGTCTACACAGTGAGTTCCAAGACAGCTAGGGCTGTTACACAGAGAAACTCTGTCTTGAAAAAACAACCAACCAACCCCCCCAAAAAAAGAAAAAAATCAGCTGACCCATGAATGGGGTGGGGAAATCGAGAGGTACAAGAGAGGGAACCAGGAGAGTGAGAAGAACCACAGGTGTCAAGAGCACTGGGAGTGTAGCCAAAATGGAAAGCACTTGGCCAAATGTCTGCATTTATATAAGAAAGAGAAGCTGGGGAGGGAAGCAATGCTCAGGGGTGGAGAGGTTTAGGGGAGGGATGGAGGTGAGAAGTGCTGAGAGGAGCCAGACTCTGTAACCCAGGGGTTCTCAATCTCCATGGTGTTGCAACCCCTTAATACAGTTCCTCATTTGTGGTGACCCCCAATCATAAAATTATTTTTGTTGCTACTTCATATCTGTAACTTTACTAGTTATGAATCATAATGCAAATATCTATCTTTTCCAATTGTCTTAAGTGGCCCCTGTGGAAGGGTTGTTCCACCTCCAAAAGGATAGTGACCCACAGGTTGAGAACCACTGCAGTAATAGGTACTTAGACTCTGGGAGAGAATGGTGGCTAGAGTCCACTTTAATTTGTTTCTAGGCACCTCAGTTACCTATTTGTCCTGAGATTTCCTCAGGACCTAACAGGTAGCATGCCTTATTTGGCTGTGAGAATTTTAATTCTTCAAACTGGAATAAAATGATAAGAATGCAGCCTTACAATAGCTTGGGGTAGGATAATTCCTCCTTGTTGAAAGCTAGGGCCTCAGCCCAGAGTTCTAGAAACTCCACAGGAGGTCTGTGGGAAAATTCAACTTTTCAATGACCTGGTACCTTGTAGCAAACCAGCCAAGCTCAGCATCTGGAAACATCAAGTGTTCATTACTATCCACAGTGTGTGACCCCAAGAGTCCCTGAGTGATCCTGGCTCAGGACCTCTCCCAGGTCACAGTTCAGTTTTCATCTTGCTGGGTTTTCTCAAAACTTCAGGAGAGCTGGGATCACATGACTTTCTCATAGGCCAGCTGGAAAGGGCTCAGCTTCCTGTTGACAGTCCCCAGGATTCCTCTGTCCCTACTTACCTAGGTCTCTCTTGAGACTGCTTTTGACACAACAGCAGGCTTCCCTAGAACCAGCCAACAAAGAGGAGGGCAGGGCATGCAACAAGCTCAAGATCCAATCCCAGATCACAGCCCATCCCCAAACCTCCCTCTTTCAGGAGACAAGAGTGAGTGCTGAACTCCCCAGAAGAGGAATTAATTTCAACCCTTTAAGAGCAGAGTTCAAGGACAAGTTACTGGGGAAAAGGATTTCTATTTTTTGTTTCCACAGAAAATGAAAAGCTGTGGATTCCTTCCAGACTAAATGTGGTTTGATCAAGCCAGACTGCCTGAAACAGAGTACCAGGTGTTCCTACATTCAAAACAGCTGGACAAAGCAGCCTTACAGACTACAGCCAGGATTTCTGCATCTTCTTAGAATTCCCCATGACAGCGCCCCTTACCAGCAGGAAGTAAGTAGTTTGGAAAGAACGAGGCCCAAATTCCCAAATATTGTCTATAAATGTTTGTTTTCATTTAAATGGACTTGGTTATATATAACAGAATAAAAGCAATAAACTTGGTAGACTAGGAAAAAAAAAAAAAAAAAAAAAAAAAGAGCAGAGCTGAAGCCTGGCTTTAGTGGTGCCCGCCTTTAATCCCAGCACTCAGGAGGTAGAGGCAGGAGGATCTGTATGAGCTATACAGAGAAACCCTGTCTGGAAAGACAAACAAAAAACCAAAACAAACAAACAAAAAGAGCAGAGCTGAACCTGTGAAAACCCACCCACACTAAAATCTAGTGTTACTGCAGCATCCTATGAATCAGGAGGTTTTGTTTTGTGTGTGTGTGTATGTGTGTGTGTGTGTGTGTGTGTGTGTGTGTGGTTTTTTTTTTTTTTTTTTTTTTTGAGACAGGGCTTCTCTGTGGCTTTGGAGGCTGTCCTGGAACTAGCTCTTGTAGACCAGGCTGGTCCCGAACTCACAGAGATCCGTTAAAGGCTTTAATTAAAAAAAAAAAAAACTTAAAAGTTGGAACAACACAGAAAATTTTTTTTAGATTTATTTATTATTCATGCAAGCATGCCAGAAGAGGTACCAGAGCTCATTATGGATGGTTGTGAGCCACCATGTGGTTGCTGGGAATTGAACTCAGGACCTCTGGAAGAGCAGCCAGTGCTTTTAACCTCTGAGCCATCTCTCCCACAGAAAGACTTGCAAGAGTATTTCTTGACAATATCTTTATAATAAAGATCTTTTTTATTTAACCTATTTATCATTTATTCTTTTGGCAACCATCAGGTAAAATGAGCAAAACAACCTTGCTCAGGGTACTTATACATTCTTGTTTTACTTTATACAAGCAGTAAACATGTATGAGTTAGCAAAATTCTTGGCTGAAGACACATTACAGAAATTTGGCATCATGTTTCCAAGCCAGGACTACAGAAGCTAGAGAATTCCCAGTAAACCAACAGTACATTTTTTTGTTTATTTTTTATTCATCTATTTATTTTACATACCAACCACAGCCTTCCTCATTCTCCCATTCCAGTCCCTCCCCTCATCTCACTCAGGTCCCCCTCCCCCGCCCCCCATCCCCTCCTCTTCTCTCTCCATCCAGGAAAGGGCAGGTCTTCCATGAGAATCAGTAAAACATAGCATATCAAGTTGCAGTAAGACTAAGCACATCCCCATATATTAAGGCTGGCAAGGAGACCTAGTATGAGGAGTAGGGTCCCAAAAGCCAGTAAGAGTTGGAATAACTCCTCCAGCAGCACATTTAATTCCTATATGTTATGTTGATTTTTAATTGTCTGCCATTAAAAGTCTTCCTTTTTTTCCTTTATACAAATAAATTTTTGTTTACAAAATACAATATATAACTAAAAGCAATTTAATTTTGAAATAAAAGTTCACTTAATGACAATGTACATTTATAGTAAAACATTGATGTTTAAACACAGTATTAGTTGTGTAAAAATCATGTTATAGCATGTAAAGTTTGTTTAGAAATTCATGGTTCCCAACATCACAGTATCTTGTGACAGCTTGAGAGCGTGACTGCAGGTTTCCTGAGGACAGAGAAGAATTCACAGAGAGACTGAGGATGCTCTTGTCATTAAGTGACTTAAGAACTGATGCTGAGAATCAACTGCTTGAGACTCCTCACAACCAAGAGTCTTTGGTTTCACCGAATGTCTACTGATCACTTACTTCACCAATAACTTAATTGGCAGAGAGACCTCACTGCAAACACTAGTGTCCCTACAGGTCAATAAAAATGAGAGGGGCCAGAAGGTTTCATCTCCATTTTCAGAGGCAAAAGATAAAGCTGCATTTTACAGTTAAAATCAGTGCAAAGTCAAGCCTTGAGAAACTTTTCTCCCCAAGAGCAAAGTTCTAATGTTACACATACAGAGGCGGGGGCAGGGGGGGATGGGGGGGACGGGATGGGACATGATGCTAGCAAGATGTCCCAGTTGTTAAAAGCACTGGCTCCTCTTTCAGAGGTCCTGATTTCAATTGCCAGCAACCAAGGGTGACTCACAATCATCTATAATGAGATCTA